ATTTTTAATAAGCAATACAGATGTAAACAAGCCTCAGGCAATTTGTAGGCTTCTTGGCATTTCAAATGAAGTAGCTTATTAACAAGTCACTGATTTGTATAAACTAAGGATATTAATTGTCTCGGATGTTGATCAGATTGTTACCTATTCCCTATAGGAAACCCAGCAGAGCCATTGATTCAAGAACAGCAAATTTTAGTTACTTCCAAAATGAACTCAAGAGGAATGACAATTTTAATTGTAAAGCTTAACTGAGAATATAAGATGGAAGAAATAGGAAAATGGAACAGGAATAGGTAGACAGAATAGGTAAATATCTGTTGGAGGGAATCCACAATTTCAGTGAGGTTCTATGAGGTTCAAGGTAAATCTACATTTTACTTCATCAACTTCGCCTTAACAATTTAACTGTATGACCCCAATGTTTTGATTGCCCAGTTTCTCAACTATACCAACCACAGTGAATTCATTACATGGCTGTGTCTGCTGCTTTCTGGTATCATAGCCTGTTAAGACTATCAAGCCCCAAAATCAGTGTGTCAGCAAGCACAACATAGCATGGGAGCTCTTTACTTGAGGTCTGTGGCTCCAGCTTCCTAGTTCTACTGACTGCCTAAAGTTGAATACAGAAATTTGGATGTGCATTTTTCTAGGAAGAGGGTTCTTACAGCTTTCATAAGATTCTCAACAGGATCTATAACTCCCTAAAAGGTTAAGAATCCCTGACAAAGAGAAAAAAAAATGTTAAATTATCAGGAGATATGTGTTCTACCACAGTTCATAGTTTGTAAGTACTTACCTCCATTCTCTACTGTGGCCTTTAAGAAGGCAGAAATCACTGCCATAGTACAGATAAGAAAACACCCAGAGCTAGACAAATAGCCGACACTACTAGCCTTCCAAGATCCTGATCATTTTCTTTCTGCCTCTACTCAAAAGCAATGGACCAAATGCAAGCAACTGTGCCGTTTTAATAACCTATTAGTTGTAACACACCTCTACCTCCCATGCTTTTCTTTACTTGGTAGGGTTTTAGTGGGTTTTTTTTAGTGTGTGTGTGTGTGTGTGCTCTAGAACCTTCTTTATATCTCTGAATTCTTTGTTTTGTTTTAAACCAAAGCTTCAAGTGGTATTATTGCATCTTTACTGATTGGCTTGAACATTTTATGAGACCTTTCTAACTTGTACATATTGTAAAACCTTTTATTATTAAAATATAGATTTGTTTAATTAAAATTAGTAGTTTGGTAAAGTTGAAAGAACGTTGCACTGGGAATCAGAGAACTTGGGATCTACTTTTGACTGTGTATAGTCTCTGGCAGATTATTTTACCTCTCTTCACTCAGGGATTCTCTTCTGAGGATATATAGGAATGACCCAGCTTTTTAAAACTACATTTACCTCTTCCTGTCTCCTCCACCAAGAATGTCATTCTCCATCATCTCCCACCTCCACTCCATCATTGCCAGGAGTGAGCCACTGTGTGTGTTACTACCCTCAGTATGCTGAAATTGAAGAAGCTTGAGTACTATTGATAAAAGTTCCCTTCTAGCTCTTCTTACTGAAATATCCTCAAACCTGAATTACACACAGGCCAGTGTAAGAGCTACAGATGTTAACTTCTTACCGTATAATACTGGGGGGAAAGGTCCCCAGGTTCTCTAAAGATAATGATACATGTGATTTCTTAGCTATTGGTCAAGAATTACTGTTTTAGTCCCTTTTCATCACAGATCACTGTAATTTGGAGGCCCTCCCCAGTGCAGTACAAATTCCAGCTTTCCTCCCCTGCAGTCAACATGCTACTCTTGAAAACATGCAAGAACTTGCCATAGTTAGCAAAGCTGTATACCCCATGAGGACACTAGCTCTGATTCTGCTCACCATTGTATCACCAGCCACAGGACCTGGTTCATATAAGCCATTCAGTAAACGTCCAGTGGGTGACTGAATATACAAGTGAATTCGAGGAGAATAAGGAACTACAGCCAAAAACACTGTTCTGTTGACTTTAGCATATTCTAGTTGCTAAATGCCAAAAGAGAAATGAGAGAATTTCTTAGAAATCTTTTTGGGTGGTGAGAAGCAAGTGGTTAAGAAGCCCAAGGCTGGTTTGGGGTTCGTTTGGGACTACCCACTTCAATTTTTAAGTACGTATGGCAAAATGAATCATGAAGTGCCCTCTTTGAATGAGAATTACGCTGAAATAATTGGGTTGAAGTTTTAATCAGGCTATTTGGGTAATGACCCATTACTTACTTCCTGATCTACTAATGAGTAAGCAGAAAAAGCCTTTTATTTGTTCCCTTATTAGAAAGCTCTTTAGCATATGAGCCCATTATCCTGCCCAAGTAAGATTTAGTGAAAGTTGTTATGATTCCGTATTTTATAGGATCTTAGGATTCATCGAAAACATAAACATATGGTGTATTATGAATGTATTAATAGAAGATAAAGGGGACTAGGACCAAAGTTGCACTGACTCAAAGTGGCCTTATTAAGAGTAGCTGAAGTAGATGGCTACCCACATGGTTTGATGTGAGAGGGGCTTGAGAAGGCTCCTTTTTCCATAAATACGTCCCTTCTGTATTGTTCCAGTGCTTGAAATACCACAATCCAGACTCTGGATTAAAGAATTATCTGTGTTCAAGCGTCCCGTGTTAAAAGGTAAATATTCCAAAGAGAGCTAACTGAGTATCAACCTGCATGACACCAATGGATGATGAAGGACCAGGCTCACTGGACAAGAACTAGTCATGGAATGGGCTGGCTATTTTTTGAATAGGTGGCAAGTGTAGAGGTAGGTCCTGAATAATGAATCCTGCCTGAGGGATGCAGACCTGAGTGGGTTTACTGAGCTAGTAGGTGTAGCAGAATCCTGGGTGTTTGAAAAAAAAAAAAAAAGAACATCCAAAGGCCAGGTAGGGCGCTGGAGGGAGAGATCCAAAGACACCACTTCAGATTAACCTCACCTACTTTCCAAGTTTGCCCAGCTAAGGTTTCTGCACAGGCAACATGTACTCTATATATTTTTAAATCCAGACCTGTACGTCCATTGCTGTCAAACTCATTATGTTGATTTTGAGTCATACTCCCTAGAATGACAGAAATGCTCCTGTCATTTCCCCTAGGAGTAAGACATCCACAGATTTACTAAGGGTACCTTCTGTGTTTTTATCTAAGTCATTTGTTTCTAACATCTTGGATTCAGGGAGTCTGTAAGTTATTTAAAACTGTACATGGTACTGTGTGTATAAGCACTTTTCTGTGGAGTGGGGTCCAGAGTTTTCAGCAGATTCTCCAAGTGATCCATGACCTCAAAAGAAGTTAAAAAACCACTGATTCAAATATTCGTCGGAATTTTGAACACCGCAGTGATGATAAGGACAAAGCTCTCACAGACCGCCACATGTGCCTTTTTTACTGCTCAGCACTGGCCCATCAGAAATTTTTGGGTGTAGTTGTTGACATATATTAGTCTCTTTTCTTTTGATTTGCCTCTATCCTTAAGGTGAATTCTAGCTACTTTGGCATTCTCATCACTGACATTTCTACATTGCTGGCATTTAGTGTTTAATCTACAAATGTTAGGTCATTCTTAAGACCTCTATCATTTTGCTTCCTTGATCCATCAGACACCATATGTCATAATATTATATTTGGTCTGAATGGAATTATACATGCTTCAGAAATCCCTGTGATTGGCTGAAAATTAACACATCAAAAGAAAACACATAAATAAAAGCTTGCCATCTCTTTTCTCCATGGCTCTGGACAAGTGCAATGTTAATTTCAATTTCGATCTACTCTAAAACCTCCAAGACTGTACCTCAATTAGTGTATATGTATGACCTATATAGAAAGGACTTCACGGTTTAAGAACATTCTCTGCATGAAAATCTGGATGTGGTAATTCATATGAAGGTCAAGAAAAGGCAAAGCTAATCTGTAATGATGGAAAACAAATCAGTGGTTGCCTAGGTCCAGGGTGGTGGTGGAATTGCACAAAGGGGCATAGGGAACATTTGGGGGTGATAGAAAAATTCTGTTTAGATTGTTGTGCTTTCATGGGTGTATATATCTGTCAAAACTCATCAAATTGTACGCTTGAAATAGGTGCAGTTTGTTGCATGTACATAAAGTATATGTCAATAAAGTTGTTCATAAAAGATTTATTCAGTGACCTTAGAATCATTAAAATAAGATTTTATTAAGAGTATTTTACTGAACCTTAAAATAAGATTTAAAATCTGATTGATTATACAAATGAAAATGTCTACCTGTAAATTTCTTCAAGGTGGGATGTGGATGAAACATGGTCAATGGGATAGTTTTTTAACAAGTGAAGTGGTATCAGTGCATTTTAGTTAATATTTACTATTTATACAAGAATGACATCTCTCTATTAATGTGGTATGTCCCAACAGTAAAACAGATTAGATAATTAATTCAGATTATCTAAAATAGGTCTTAAGTGTTCATTTAGAACAGTTACCTAGTCTGGCTATTCCAAAGCAGATAGCATCAGACACAGTGATAACATAATAGATCATTCAAAGCTAAATTGATATTAACCAATGATATTAACACTTCATATTCACTTAAAGAAAATTGTGTTTGCCTGTATGTTATTTTGCATTTTAAAATTGGGTTATTAAAATTTTTTGCTATGCTCTGATATTGGTTATGGGTGTTTCCTTGGGAAATCTAATATAATAAATAAAGCATTAATTTTAAGGCTGAGGTTTAAGTGCTATGTATCCACTAATATATACCCTTTACATATTCTCCTGTGGAACTTTTGAGGAACTTTTTCCAATCTATGAGACAATGCTGATGGATTCTTAGTGGTTGATGTGAAAATGAATAGGGAAGCCCTGACAACTAGTCTTAGAAATAAAACTGAATCCAATTAATGCCACCTTGTCATGCCTGCATGTGGAATGTAAGGAAGAATAGCTAAAAATAGAGAAATAAGATTTTCTGAAATACGAAACAGGTGTTGTTACAAAACACTTTTAATTGAGTTAGAAATCACTTGCCTTTTCATTTGCTATGCTTACATGTTAGTAAAATTGTAAGTATACTGCTAATACAGGAATGCTTGCACTTATTATTAGTTTATTTAGTAGAGCTGCTTGTTTTGGATGGATGGTAGGAGCACCTTGTTAAAAGAGGGCTGGTCAGAATGGAGGGAGGTGGTAGGAGATTGCTTAGGTCAGCTTAATTCCAACCACCAGTAATGTGGTGAACACTGTACTTAGGCTACCAGCCTATGGCTTATTCACTCCCTTTTTCTTGGGCTCAACTACAATCCCAGGCCTGGTCTCTGGTTCTGGCTCCGGCTCAGTCACGGGGACAGGGTCAGGTTCTGGGGCAGGCTCCAGGGCCGGCTCATGCTGTGGCCTCTGGATGGTGTGAACATCAGTGTCATGGGAAGATGGCACAGGTGCTTCTACTTGGATGGTGTCATCAGATGGCAATGTATCCAACTCAGGGTTCTGGTTTCTCTCTGCCATCGGCCTGCAGAAAGAAGGCCCGGAGAAGGACAAGTTAGGGTTTGCCGTTTCACATGGAGTCATAGGCCCTGTAGCTTGGATGACCATAGGTCCCAGTCTGTTCAGGACCTGTGTGATCACTGATACACTGACTCACACTGTCAGACCATAGGTCTCCATTTTGGGTGCAGAAAAGTTAAGTGTCAACAATATAATGAGAGTTCATGAAAGACAAAGCAGTGTTTAAAAGGTGAAAAACCTGATGTCAGGATGTAGGGTCTAAAGCTCTAATAAGGTCTTTGAGGGCCAAATTCATGGCTCTAGTGTACCTCCAGCTTCTACTTTATCTAGCACAATACTTGACACCTGGTTGGTACCCAATGCATAGTTGTGGAAGCATAGAAATGGAGGGATGAACAAATGAAAAATTTCTGTAAATTGAAAAAGAAACCTCAGAGTGGTCAAGGGCCTGGGCTTTGGGCAGGGCCACATTCTGACTTCTGTGGGCACTACATACTTTGGCCTTCATGGGGCCCCTTGGTCCATACAAAAATATTAAAATTATGTTTTATGACTGTTGGTAGAAAACAACTACGTTAACATGATATATTAAAACATTTTCTTAGACCTAAAAGGGCTGTTATGGTGGTTAAATGAGTTCATATACATAAAACACTTAGAAAAGAGTCTGATGCGCAGCACTTGGTAAATGGTAGCCATCATTATTCTTTTATAAAAGCAATGAATGTGGGCAGACAACTCTGATACCTTATGCCTAAAAGTGCCTAAAAGGAGTTCTCAGGAAGAGCTGACTGAAAGAGAGATGCCTGAGAAATGTCTGTATTTCTAAGCAAAGACAACAAAATAAGGCCTTACTCAAGTTCTGTGGCGGTTTTAGAATGTCTCTTCCTTTCTTTCCCCTTTGCCTTGCTCCTTGCAAAGCACACAACAGAGACGATAATGGCAGCGCCCACTAGGGAGCCCACCAAGGCCCCGAGGATGATTCCAACTTCTGGATCTACAGGATATAAGCAGCTGGTTAGTAAAGTGGAACATATTGTCTGCCTCATACATATGCATTTTCAGTGGGGAATATTTGAGGCATTCATATGGTAGGAAAATGACTTTTAGGTTGGGAGCATGGAAACCCCTAGAACTCTGCCAGTGGACTCACAGTGGGAGAAGAAAGATGCCTAGCTCGACTGTGTAACTTACCTATTCACATGTACACACATGAAGAAAACAATATGCCAGCCTGGGAGAGGTGGGGTCACTTTTTAATGGGCTTTAGAGGAATAAGTCTTCAGTAGACATTTGCGTGATGAGTGAGATAGACACACCATGGAGCTGCAATCCAGTCACTATCAAGATAACCTCCGTTGCCAGCAGGGACAATTTCACCAGGATTTCCCAGAGCATAGATGAGGTAGGTCCCTAAAAAGCTTTCCCACAGATTCCATGCTTACCAAGGAGCCTCAGACATTCTGGCCACTGGAAAGGAATATGCCCATTTCCATAAACCATCATCTGGTTTATTAAATCAGTTTATGGAAAAACTTAATGAGTGTGAGACAGTCCAGCTGAGTACCAGACCTTCAAGCACTGAGGGATTTTCCCCAAAAGACCATGTCAGGGCTCCAGGTGGGCCCATTGCCACCCACCTCCCTTGAAAAAAAGATGGACATCTTATATTTTGAGACAAATGGCTAGTTGAATTGCCTAATAATTCTTTTAACACATCATGATTAAAGGAACACATGTGGATGATTTAGAAAGTCAAACAGCTCTATTTCTAACAAAACCAGCAGCCCCTTTCCCCACTCCTCCCCATCTTTTGAGTCCCATTCTCTAGAGGCAACCACTCTTCACTCTTTTTTTAAAGTCTTCTATTATTTGCCCCTATGTTTCTATTATGCTTGTTGTAATATGTCCTGCCTCTTCCAATTTTTGTCATTTTCTATTGTCTTCCTACTCTGGAAGTTGAAGATCTAACTCTCACAGACCACTCCCTCCTACCCCACCACATTCTCCTAACAGGGTTATAGCACAAGTTGCAGTTGTGTGTGAGTAATAACATCAAAGTGTGCAGTGGATGACTAGGGAGCACAACTGCAGAACGTAGTGTGTGTATATATATATATATATATATATATATATATATATTGTGATTCTTTCTTGTACAACATTAAAATTCTCCTTGATGTTAATAGTTGCCTCATTTGGGGATTTTAAAAAATGTATTATCACCCCAAATTTCCAGCAACTGTTAAACTCCTTTCAATAGATTCAAACACATCAGATAATTTGTTGGTTTCTTATGTTTTTTCCTTCCCTGGGAGACATCCCTTGGGGAGTCGTCCATCCTCCTCCGGTAGCACAGACTCGCTGCCCTCCAAAGCCTGTTGCTCTACCCTCATCCGTATTTTACAGATAAAGAAACAGGCTTTGCAAATACCTTCAAGATCCAGCTCAAATGGCACTCCACTGGCAAAGCTGGTCCTGGTTCTATAATCTTAACTGTTTCTTCTCTGTAGTCCTGTAGACCCTGTGCAGACCTATAACATTTTTTGTCCCTATATAGTCTGTTTGTCCCTCTAGCTAAATTGTGAGCTCCTTGAGTATAAGACATGTATCTTATTAATCTCTATCTCCATCACCTAGGACAGTCCCTGGCATATAATAGATAGTCAACGAATGTTTGATTCACAGAGGGAGTCAGGGAGACAGGGAAGCAGGAAGGGAGGGAGGGAGGAAGGGAGGGAGAGAAGGAAGGAGCCAGATGCTAACATCACTGGAAAAGGATTGGAAAGGAAACAGGGCCTAAGTACAAATCTAGAGACTAGGAGTCTCTACATCTGCAGTATGAGTGTACCCCTGGAAAGGCAAAAAGGGATTAGGAAGATCTAGAGAAAAACAACAGAAATGTTCGAGCCACAGAAAAGGACAGGCAAAAAGATGAGGCTGCTTCACTTTGAACAGAAAATAGCTGACAGTGATATGAGAAGGAAGGAGCAGCTTGGAGTTAGAAAATGTTTGGTTTAGGACAAATAAAAGGAAGAAGGCTCAATTTCACAGGAGTACAATGATCCATCCAATGGAGCCACACCCCCTGGTATGGTATATAGTAAAGCCACAGATTCAGAGTAAGAAAAAAAGAACAGATGACATGATCCTAAGTGCTATTAAGTGATCTTTGAGAGGTGTAGCAAGATGTCTTGCAGTAGCTTGCCCCTAATTGGTCCAATTTGACAATTCCAGGCTCTCAAGTCTATGCTTTGTAACTAAGCACCTTTGAACTGGAAGGTTGAGGTTTAAAGACATCTTGGCTCTGCTGGTCATTAACTGGAAGACTTTGGGCAAGTCACTTACTTCCCTAAGTTTCACAGCACCTGTCCAAGTGTCTGGCACATAATTTGTGCTCCATGATTATTAGCTACTGTGACTGTAGGTGTGGCTATTAGTATTACTATTATTATTAGAGACAGATCTTAACAAATTAATTAAGAACTGGAAGGTTTGTGAGCACCATGTTTGACATAGATTGCTATATTTCACCTGGATTTATCAACAACATCAAAATGAAAATTCAACCAGGTTCTATCAATGAGGCTGTTGTTTTATTAAATAGTAACACCCACTTTCTAGAGAGTTTGTGAGCATTAAACAAATTAATTTTTGTAAAGAATTTAGGGCAGTTTGTGGCATTATTTTAAGTATTATGTAAGCATTAGATATTATGATGGTAATTAATCCTATAAACCTATAAATAAAGCACCAAACTTTCCAGAGAGACAGGAAGGACTAGCCAGGGATCCCAATTAATTTACTTGGCTGGCAGGACCAGGATTCTTGACTTAAAGAGAAACTGTTAAAGTTGTATGGTGAACTTACGTGAATAAGTTAGATCAATTTCACAGGAACTATTGCCAAGGAAGTTGGTGGCAGTGCACTGGTAATAACCTTGTTCAAAATTGGTCAGATTTCCAATAACCAAAATCCCGGTGGCTGGGTCTGTCAAAACCAGGAAATAAACTTTAAAAATCTCTTACATGGGTACCGATTTTGTTGAGGTAGAAGACCCCATGTCCACCCACTTCCTCACATTGGCCTCCCTTTCTTGAGATGTCCAGGGTCCAGCTAGACCCCTTGGGACTGTTCCAAATGCAGCCCATCTGGGCCCATGCCTATTCTCTCCAGATTCACCACCTCTGAGCCAAAAACGGGCTTGATGTCTAGAAGTTGGAGATAAGACCAGACCACAATCATCTTGTGAGGAGATAGACATTCTTTTTACATCCCTCTCCCAGAAGAAGAGAAGACTGAGCTCTACAGATAAGCAGCCAGCCACACTCAAATGCTATCAGCTGACCATACACACCAGGCCTTGGCAGGGGCTGCTGAAGCTATACTTACCAAAGTTTTCTTTCACTGGGACAATGTCACTTCCTTCAAGTTTATACCAGTTGTACACAGGGGAAGGCGTTCCAAGCACTGAGAGGCAAGAAAGTGATGTAGGATAGCCAGCTTCTGGTATTCCTTGAATGCGGCAAACGGGCTTCGAAGGCTTGACTGTAAGGTAATGACAAAGGGTAAACATTCTGCGGGATGAACGGCAGCCTGCAGCAATTGCACTCACTTCCTCACTCCCACTTTGTGCAATATGTGAGTTCAATTTTTAAAAAATCTTTAGACTTATTTTGACCGTTTTCTGGTTGCACCACTAGGTGGGAGTAGAGCACTTCAGGGGCGAGGCCCTTCCAGTCTCCGGGCCATTAAGATTCTAAGAGCGTCTCTTCTGTCTGCCTCCTCCCCAGATTCAAAACTTGAATTTCCGCATTGTGTCTTAAAATATGCCTTTATTAAGATAGCCAAATGTAAGCAAATACTAAATTACTAGGGACATTATTTATACTATTGAAGAACAGTTTTAAATGGAAATAGAGTCTTAAACACATTGAAATAACCTATTATTGATTATTTTTAAAAACATTGTTTCATTAATGTCATATCTTTCATTTCCTTATGAGTCATTTTTGGTATTTATTCTTCTGGAGGTGACACAAAATGATTGGAGGGCTTGAATTTGCCTGTGTCCCTTACAGGAGGGAGAAGCCCATTTCGGAGGGGGTGGGCTACACGGTGCTGAAATCTTTCTTCATCTTTCACTCCATAAGCATTTCCCTGAGCGCCTTCTGTGTGCCTAGCACTGGTCTAGGCACCAGAAATTCAAAAGTAACTCTGGCACAGGTCTGAAGTGAGGTGGGGGGTGTGGTGAGAGATGAAGCCAGAGAGCAGTGGAGGCCCTGGCTTGGAGGGCTCTGTATTTACATGTTTTATACTGAGAGCAGGAGGACCATGGAAGGAATTTGAGTAGGTGAAGGAAGATGGTCATTTTTAATGCTTTAATGGCTCGTCTCATTCTGGAGGGTTTCCGAACCAAGTGAGAGGGGGACATAGAGTCAAGAGGTATTAAAGAAGGAGAATCGACAGGACTTGGTGACCAAGATGGATAGTGGCCTTGGGGAATAGGGTGACTCCTATTATTTCTGATTTGGACAGCTGTGTACATTATCTTGCCATACTCTGAGATAAAGAATACAGGAGGAGGAGCAGGTTCAGGGAGAAGGAGTGAAGAGGATAATACGGTCAGTTCGGGACATACTGAGTTTTAGCTGCTTAAAAAATGCCTCAGTGGAGAAATCCTGTGGGAAACTGAGAATCTGAATCTCCTCATTCACCTTACTACTCACAGCTTATTCTAACCCTAGTCTTACATACAGCTAATGATCCAAATTTCAATACTCACCAACTGACCTTCCTTATCTTAAAAAGTGTAGGTTCTTTAGCTTAGGCTGGTTATTCCTTAAATGCTCTGGACACCCAGTTCTCCATCTCCTTTGGGAAGTAGCAGTTAGGAGCACAGCTCTCAACCCACACAGAATACTGACTGCAACTTTATCCTAGATGTGTTTAGGCAGGTAACCCTAACATAACCAAACCTCGGTTGACACATCTGTAAGATGGGAACAAGTGGTTATCTGACATCCGACTAATCCAAATATATTGAATTTATATGAATAAAATAATGTTTTTAGTGCCTTGCATCTGGACTCGCTGTTGGTCACGGGCAGGACTGATTCCTGCTGCCACATTTTGTAACTTGCTACTGAAGTTGATCTTCTGATCTCGGACTCTAACCCACTGTACACATGAGTGAGAAGGAAGACAGACATAGCTGTAGCTCTTTGAAATACTTCACCATCCCTATCTTTTAAACAGGTGTCTTTTAATTAAAACTGTTTTTCTATTTAGCTCTTTAATCTCTCTTCCTTATCACTGAGTCTCTGAGATAGGGACAACTTGCTGGGTTTGCCAACCCTAACTAGGCTATGTAACCAGAAGCCCACTGCAACTGTCACTAGATTTAGATGCTGCTTTTTTTAAAACATGGTGGTTTTATAGCCTTTGCAGCAGAATAAAGCAATTTGAACAAAAAATGAAATTAGTGTGTTTCATCACAGTCCGACACCAGGACTTGAGCTAAATGATGGGGAAAAACCTAAAATGACTTGCATTCATTTCTTGAGCCCAGGATCAAACCCAGATAGGCATTTTTTTCTGAATACATTTTTCTCCTTTTATTTTTTATTAGCAAAACACTTAGTGAATCACTTTGTACACATCCCAAACGTACATATTTTCTAAAACTACTTGAGTCAGGATTAAATTGACATTTCATCCAGTTAAAGTCCCCAGTAGAACTTGGATGTTTTACTGGCAAAGCCATTGATCTACCATTTAGCTTTATTGCTGTCAACAGAATTGGAGTGGGAAGAGGCACTCACCTTAGAAAATAAATGAAAATGCTTCAGAGTGTTCTTGAACCTTCACTAAATTCATCACTTTATGTGCTAAATTGCAGGAGGAAGATGATGCACATTTCAAATGCATACAAAATAATTACTCAAACTTCTATCTGGGTATCATTCAGAGATTCATTGTGCAAGGCTGCTAATGGGAGTCTCCCAAGTAAATAGTTGTCCAGACCACCTGGGCCTGTGCTCATTGCTGTTTGCTTTTCCTGAATGGTGCCCCGCCACCTCAGCCCCTTTTCTGCCTGACACACTCTTGCACATCCTCCCACATTCAGTGCAAAAGTCACATTCCCCAGGAAGCCTTCTCCAGTTCCCCCTTGAACAGCTTTTAGCCTCTCCCCGAGGATCTCTCTCCTACCTCCGTTGCAAGCTTGTATGTTATATATCTGCCTCCCTCACTAGACTCTGAACTTCTGGAGGGTTGGGAACCAATCTTTACATCTTTCCATCTCCACTGCCTGACACATTAACTGGACATGTGTTCTGGGTTTGTTGAATGAATTCATGCATGAACAAGTGAATGCATGGGATCAATGTCTGTCACTGGGTAATGAAATGTCTCCAAAAGATGCATTGCTAAGAAGAGTAATCTTTAAGGAAATAGCAACACCTTTCTCCACAACTCCCCCTTTCCCACCTGCCCTCACCATGCCCCATCCCTCGATCAGGGCAAGTAGAACAAGCCCTCATAGGCATTGGAATTTGAGAACTGCAAACAACTTCTGCAATTTTTAGAGAAAATTATCAGTCTCAAAATTTCCAAAAAGCATAAATTTATAGAACACCTTTGTTCTTAGCCCAATTAATACAAATAGAATTTTTGAGAGTTCTCAAATGAACAATGGAATACACAGACCCTTCTTCTTCTTAGCTTGTCTGGATCCTGGATACTTAAGGAAAACTCAGGACACAGTCATTGCAGGAACAATTGACCCAAAGACTCATGGGAAAGAACAACTCAGAGAGGAAATGACCCTCAGCTTCTTAAGGAAGGTGATTAGGGATTCTCTGAACTTTCAATTTAAGAGTCCTAACCTTCCTGTCTAACTTCATCTCAGGGCTATTTCCAAACTCAGAGTTAAGGAGGCTTGTCTTCTTTAGGTTGTTTCTGGTCAAAAGGATAACCCAGAGCCAGGGGGCTACAGAAAACCATTACAGGACTGATCCCTTGAATTCTCTGAACATTGAATCTTCAGTATATCATTTGATTCTCATAACAAACCTGTAAAGATAGGGAATTATCTTTCCCTACCTCTAAAAGACCAGAGACATATGGGCTGACTTGCCTGAGGCCACTGAGTAGCAGAGTAAGACTTAGAACCTAGCTCTTCTGACTCCCAGGTGATAAGCCAGCATCTATACCACACCATTTAGTTCCCATGTATATGACTAGTTTTCTAAACTGGAACTTCACCTCTCCCAGGAAAGGGCTTGTGTATGCTTCTCTTATCTTTCCCTGTACCCCAGGGCCCAGCACCAGGCTCAGCAAAATAAAAACAAAATAAAAACTCTAAGTCCCCATCACTGTGAACCTCATGGATCCTGGTACAAAGTAGACACTCAGTAAATACTGCACAAATGAACCACTCCCAGATCATTTGAAAAGCTGATATGACTTGCCCAGTGTCACATAATGAGTATTTGTATATTAGCAAATTCTCATCTTTGCTTAATATGTGGTCCTGTTTTTCCAAATGGTATTAACATTTTTAAAAGGGACTCTCCTGGCTTTACTCAAAAGCATGATTTGATGGTGGGAGTTGTGGCTGGTTTAGGAGACATAACAAGCTGACAGTCGTCTCCCTCAGTAGGACTGGCTCTAACTGGAGGCTGTCTCAGAAAGAGTTGCTAATGATCATTTCGTGCAACTGTGCGTTGTCCCATCTGTTCTCATTCCATCCTTCAGAGATAGAGATCCCCTGAGGTTGGGTCATCTACTGCTCTCTGTAATATTGGTGGCCCTTTTGGCCTGGCAATGGTTTCGACATGGTTTATGAGTGATGTCTCAGTGTTGCTATATGAGTTGGGTTGGTGGTGTGTCTCTATTTCCCTGTTAATAAAAGAAGCAGGAAGGGTATTTACCCCTGGAACTTAATTAGCACCATAACTCACTGCCCTGACTCATTCAATGTTCAAAGTGACTCCAAGAAGAGAAAAAGCAGAAAAAATTGCCCATACCTAACACATTGACGTTGATGATGCCTTGATTTTTGCCAGCAAAGTCAGGGGGGTTGTTAACATCGCAGATGTAGCTGCCACTGTCGGCTGGCTGCATATGCGAAATGGTGATAGATGCATTATCTTGATCATTGGACCCTACGATGCGACCTTTAAATTGCCCAATGGCTGTAGCTTGTCCACCTTCAGAATAGTAGATCTATGAAAGAAAAATGACAGAAATAAGAACTGGGGAGTGCCTGGGGCTAGGATAAGCTACCTGGAGGCTCCTTCTAGCCAATGTTACCTCCACTGATAAGCAGCAGCTTCTTTCCCCCTGCAGGGAAGAGGTCTCCATGGCAAAGGTTTCTCAGCTCAATGGGGCCCTTTAGCTTGCTCACAGCTGTGCAGAACTATTACCTCTTCTGGGCTCAAAGCAGCTTTGTGATGTCAGGGCAGGGAGGTGTGCCTGTCTTACACACAGTAAACAGCTGGAGCTGACAGGATGCAATCCTGAAGCCTGATGCTCGCCTGATAAACTACCTGGAGGAAACTCATTAAATAGGACGCAATGCCTGATGGAAAAACCAAAACCATCACTTGTTTCCCATTTATACATTCTTTTTTTTTTCATTTGAGTTTACTTTACTCAGAAGTACTATCTGGAATATCTGGTTTCCCTAAAAGTTAGAATATTTATTTATGCCCCTTTCACACACACATACTCCTTTGGATAAGCAAATTTGGGTTTATCTTGTTTGTTAGAAGAGTAACATTTCAGAGCAGAGAGGCCCCTGAGAAATCACCTGGTCCCATCCCCTAATCATGCTGGTGTGAGGATAGAGTAATCTAGAAAAGGGCCTAAGAGACGCTTAGTCAACTGTAGCTAGTGCCTCTCGACCCACATGGCAGAAGGCAGAATTGGAATTATTATTTCATTTAAACAAACAAGGGCACTCAAACCAAGAAAGATTAAATGACTCATCCAAAACACAAGGACTTATTTATTATTTTTTTATTATTTACCAGATTTATGAAGATCTGGATTCTAGCCCCATCTCTATTAAAGAACATGGGTAGTTAGATAATAATGGCAACTGTGGGATCAGCAGGGTGAGGTAGAAAGAGGCCTGGTCTAGGAGTCCAGTGACCTGGGTTTTAGCCACAGATATGCCTGTAACTGTGACATAGTCAGAGGAGGTAGCCTCTGGTCATGCCTCCATGGCAACCTGCTTTGTGATAAGAAACAAAAGTTACTTAACCTCTTCAACCTTTAGTATCCACAACTGAATGAGGAACCAGAGCAATGCTCTCCAAAGTATGTTGTGTATTCCCTGAATGTAGGCATGCAAGTTGATTTTAGGTGGTACATGAATGAAAACTTTTTAGAAAGAGACATATCTACAGCATCAAATCTGTGACTTCGTGGATGTTATTAATTTTTTTAATTTTAAAAACATAATTTTATGGAAAATTTCAAGCATACACCAAGGTAGTGAGATTCATGGATATTATTGTTTAGGGTGACACTAAAGTAGCTATTTTTAAGATTTTAAGAAAGCAAGTCAATACAGAAAACAAAGGCAAATAATCCTGCTGGTGATACACAAATATGACAAAAATCATAAAGATGAGATATGAAAGACTGAAGCTTAGGAATCACTGGACTAGGTGACCCCTGAGGTTCCTTCAAAATACACTCAGTCTCTGTACACACATTGTCAGTTTCATATAAATGCATGTCATTCTAGTGATTGGTACTTTAAAGAAGAAACTGAAGCCCAGAGAGGTAAAAAAGACACACGCAAAGTTCACAGATGGGACAGGTCTAGAATGCAGTTCTTCTAATTCCTGGTCCAGTGCTCTTTATCTTAATAGGCTAATGAAGGAAGGCAATCAGCAGACCAAAAGATACTATCTAGATAAATTCAAATATATTCTACTTTAAGTAGAAAGTCTTTAAACATCTGGCTGCTTCCCCTGCTCCCAGGGAAACTGGGGATAGGTCAGCCTGTTTTATGCTGAGCATTAATGACATCACAATGAGGTTCATCAATCTTGCCTCCGGCCGTCAGGAAATACCAGAGGATCTAGGTGAGAGGACCTTGTTTCTGCAGAGAGCAGCGGGCCAAGAGTGTTTTAATCCAGGACCAGAACATGGGAAGAAGTCACTGTAAAAGTTTACAGTTGGGAATGAATCGAGGTGAAATGAGCAAATAAGTAATGAGGCCCTGGACTGGTGACTTCCCTATAAAAAGCACCTTCCCAACCCTTTTACCTAGCTTCTCACACAGTAGCCTAATATACTTTGCTCTCTCACAAATAATACTAAAGTGTGTTAGGAATAGAAAAGGGGGTAAGGAAGGATAAAAATGGAGACCTAACGGAAAGGACTTGGCCTTGAGGTGTTGTGTGAGAAGGAAAGTCCCCAGGGCTAGCCAGGGGCCAGTCACAGATACTGAGGGGCTTTCTGTTCTGGGAAGTTTGTGCTATCACACTGTCCTTGTAAAGAAAAAGAATGAAATGTTTCGTGAAACTGGTTATCTAATCACACAGGAAGGACTGCAACTTGGTTCTATTTTCCACAAAAAGAAGCGCTCTTTTAAAAATCAAAGCTGAACAATGGCCAAGGCCCAGCCCGTGATCCTGTGAGGCTCATGTACTTTTCAAAGAGAGTGTATTGTCAATTTAGAGACCAAAGCAATTGAGGTCCAGAAAAACCACGGATGTCCAACAGGCCACAACCTTTGGGAGGAGGAGGAGGAGAAGTCTGCTTTAAGAAAATCCATCCAAGTTTTCCCTTAAGTGGTGCTTATTAATTTTCTGCCCACTTGCCTTTTGTGGCTGTGTTCATGGCAGACTGCCCTACCTTTCCCCCCAGAGGTCCTCTCTGCCTGCCACTTGATGTTAGAGGCTGGTATGTGGAGTCAAAATAGCACATTAGTTATAAGACTCCCTTGGAGATCACTTAGCTCATGGTTTCTAAGGTTGAGGAGCCTTCAGGAGCTGGATGGATATTAGAAATATGGGAAATGGCCAGAAGGGGTTGGTGGATAGAGGTAAGATCATAGAATATAGTGGGAACTGTGGTGAACTGAAGAGCCAATACAAACTAGGCTTTCAAACTGTGGAAACAAACACACAAAGTACTGGGCTGGCCGACCAGTATGCACCCACTGGCCAAATAGGGCCCAGAGACCTCCTGTGTGCAACCTCTGATTCATCCTCTTCTATTACAGAAAAGGACACCAAGGCCCCCAAAAAGGAAAAGATTTTCCCAAGGTCGCACAATTTATAGTCAGACCTGGAATCCAGCCCTCCCCATTCCTTCTGAATACATGAAACATGGCCCTCATCGTCCTGCCTTTGGTGAGGCAAGTGATTTCCAGGCAACCTTCCCCTTTCGGGGCCATTCCATCCCTTTCTCCAGCCGGCCCTTCTCCTGCCAGTGGCTGCTATTCATGGGTATGCTGCTGCCCATGCCAAGTAGGCTCACCATGCGCTGCCTCCCATGTTTGCCAGCTGCAGTAACAGTCTTTCCCCTTCTACTGCGCCAAGTTCCTATTCACATGAGGCCATGCAGCTGGGAGCCAGATTTGTCCAAAAAGATTTTTTCCCTCAGCTTTGTGACACTTCTCTACAACTAGAGGCTGGAGTATAAACAAGAAAGGTTGAAGAATCCAGTCTGCTTTCTGTCTGAGTCTGAACTGGAGTTAATAAATGCCTTCAGACCCCAGAGCAGCTTTAGTGGGCTCCTTGTGGAAATGTGGAGGGTATGGGAGGCCACAGAAAACTACCCATTCTTTCCGTTCCAGCTTCTTGCTTTCCTGTACTGCTCATAAAGGGGCTAGACATGGGAGGGGAGGGGTGCAGGGTGGCAATGGTCCCAAGCCCAGAACTTTCTATGGGCTGTATTATAGGGGTCTGGAATTGCACAGGCAAGGAATAGAACACCAAAAGGAAGACTTTCCTGCCTCCAAAATACTTCCTTCTCCGTCTGCTATTTGCTGGCACTACCCACCATTTGAACTGGTTCTTTGGGCTGAAGGCATCGGAGGTCTGTACTTAAGGGATTTTCTTTGGAAGAAAACAAAATAAACTATCACTTGTCCCTAACACATTAGCATCAGATTAATTTATCAGATTTTGCAAGAATAAACCCTTGAGGGAATGCGACACAGAACAGATAAACTTTGATGGGAGGGGGTGGTGGGAAGGGGAGAACTTGGAGTGTTTCTCAATGCAGGTGACACTAGTATTTGGGTAGACAATTCTTTCTTCTGCAGCTTTGTCTTATGTATTGTGAACATTTATTTATCTCTAGACCCCACCCATTAAATGCCAGTAGTGCTTCCCATTAATAGCAAAGCAACACCCCCTTCATTTTCAAGTGTCCCTAAGGAAGTGAAACACCCCCACCCCACCAACATTTGAAATACATTTGATATAATGCAGTCTGTAGAGGACAGGCCAGGTTGGGAGAATCTGAGCAGCCAGAGAATATTAAGACACTAGGTTCTGGAAAGAAGTCCACTAGAGAAGTATTGTTCTGACAGACTCATGGTAAGTAGGATCAATGCCCGTTCTGTTTGTGGGAAGGTGAAGTCTCTTTGGTTTTATCAGTGGCTGGCTGGGTAGAAGTGGAGGCAATTGGTGTGATCAGAGGGGCAACAAACCACCCAGAACTTCCATTCTAGCCTCCCTGTCCCAGGGCCTACAGTCTTTAGCTAAGAGTTCCTGCTGAAGGATTGATCATCTGAAGCTGTCCATATCTTCTGAGAGGAGGGCTTCTCCAAGAGGAGGACCATGCTAACACATATACTGGCCCTCCTGGCCAGAAGACTTGTGAGATACTTCAGTCCCCATTGACCAAAGGAACCCCTCAGCAGGAGGGGATAATCAGTAAGAGAAAACATCCTCCCCTGGGTATTGAGAAATGCTAGGCCTTAGAGTCAACTGCTCTTTTAACACAATGATTTTGGAATAGGAGAAGATATGTCTGTGGCAAGAGTTGGCCACTGCCCTGCCAATGCAGTAACAGGGTCCTGAGCTCTTTGGAGGAGGCTGGAAAGAATTCCAGACCTGGCCATGAGAAGGCAAAGTCAAGACTGTTCCAGTTTTTCCAAAGGCTTGTGCTGATTTGGGTTTTCACCAAACTCAGACCCTCCCAATCGTACTCCTAAAAGCTGTTGCCATTGCCTGAGAAACTCCAAACAATGAAGCGGTCTGGTGTACACCAATAAGTGATCTTACCTGAGAGGTCCAGCTACATCTTCCCCGAGCGTCTCTTGCATGCACCATTGTTAGACACTGACTGACTGCCTTTTCCTCCATACTCTCAGTATTGAGGCACGGGCTGTGCTGTGTTTGAGCAGAAATGGGTGGATCTGAGAGCTCACGACTACATGATATACTGCCACATCAACCCAGGAGTTGAATTGGATCACTCAGTAGTCATTCCAGCAACATCTTACTCCCATAAATCATAGAACTAAGAGCACAGTGGTCTCTTCTTATCATGCCCAAAATGTCCCACCAGCCATCCCTAGATTAATATACAACATGCTCTACAGAATTCTGAATTCATGGAAGTGCCCAAAGAAGAAACACATTTGAAATATAGGCCAAATCCCATTTTGAAAAATGCCATCTATACCAAGGATGTCTGTAACCTCTTGTTGAACAGGTTCTCTGTTCAGGATAAGGAGCAGGCAGAGAAGGGGCCTGACCCTTCCCTTTAGCCACAGGGACGTGGCAGGCAGTGAAACTGGAAACTAGTCCTGGGCCAGGATTCCCCCAGGAGCTGTGTCCCAACTGCTCAGCTCTACTTAGTGTCTCTTTTGGGGCTGGGTTCCCTAGTGCCCATGACCCAGGGCTATGGATGGGAGAGGGATTTTGCAAATACACCATTTTGTGAGCAATGATCCTAATAATAATAATAACTCACATTCACTGAACGGTTGTTATGTGAAAGGCTTTCTAGCACTTCAATAGCATCATTTCAGTTAATCTTCACAGTCAATCCCTGAAATAGGTTATAAGTAGCCCCATTTTGCAAATAGGAAAACTGAACCTCTGAAAGATTAAGTGACTTTGGTAAAGTCATCCAGCCAGCAATTAGGTAGCAGAGCAAGGAGTAGAACTGACATTCATCAGGTTCTACTGAGACTCCAAAATTACTCATCTGGAAAAGTAGAAAAGCACATGCCTACAGGGTATAGGGAAAAAAAGGAGTGACTCCAGTTCTCTACAAGTAGAAATCTAGGGATGGTTGTAATGGGGATCTTGCCGGGGCAAGCTGAAGCAAGAAGCAAAAAGAGGAGGAAGAGAAAGCCAGTCTTCTTAGAGGTGGTTTTCACTGTCTCTAAGTCAAGAGCTGGCCATACTCTACCCTGTCTTTCATGCAGCTAAGGCACATGCATAGCACAGTCCTCATGCACTTAAAGAAGCATCTAGGATGTTTTAAGATCAAGAAACATGTTCTCATGGATCCAGCCACTCAGTGCAGAGGACCTCCTTTTATTTGAACATCCTGAAAGAGTAGATAATTTAAATTCCTTGCTCTGTCTTTTTACCTGACACTTTGAAGAATAAGATAAATGGCAAGTAAATGAGCTAGCCAATAAATACTTAATAGAATTTCTTTCTAAAGTAGGTCTAAAAGATGTCCTGAGCTCAAGCCACATGCAGTTCAGTCACCTACACTTCTATGCATCTCAAAACCTAGAAAAAACTCATTGTTGGTCAATCACAAGATCCTTCTGCCCTGCATCTCCCAGCTCCTCATCAGACATACAGTTCAACAAAGAAGTGGCCTTTATAAATTCCAGTGTTAGAAGAGGCATAAAGAAAGATTTGTATTTTTTAACTCAGCCTGGTCTGGCCTTGCCTCCAGGCAGTTGAGGACATTTTGATTTGAGTACCAAGCATAAAAATTTCCAAATTCTCTAAATTCTAATACTTGCCAAATGGGAAGGACTAAGCTTACAGATAAAGAATGTACTGAAAACACTAGTCAGGAAACTGGGTTTTAAAAAGGAAGAAAGATCATGTGATTATTGCCATCTACAATCTAAGAAAACATGCAAATGACAGGGATGGTTTTTAGTGGACTGTAGCAGGCGAGGTCTTGGGTCAAGATATTTTTGGTGACAGAAACTGGTAATTTCTGTTTTTGCTGCTACTGCTGCTTATGATGACAATGGTGTTTACAAGGGAGAAAATTTACAGGGCTTTGTTTTTTCAAGTGTTTTCACATGTCTTATGTCAGTTGAATCCCCATGAGGTATGTAGCAGAGTATTACTGTTCTACCATATTTTTAAGAGAAACACAGAGTATCTGAGGTAATCAGTACTGAGAAAATTTTTGAACTTTGACTAGAGGGTGGCATTGATGAAATCTCCTCTTGGATGATGTTTCCTGTTAAACAAGTGTTCAAGACCTGTGGTAAAGAGAGGACTCACCACCTCCAAAAGACCAGTTCATTTGGTTGAAACAACACTGGCCAATGTGTAGCTCCCCCAAGCTAATGCCCTTCTTCTCCACCTCTGCCCTTGGGCCTTCTTCAGCCCACCCAACTCATTCTCCATTTTACTACTAATCAGAACTCATCCTTTCCATCAAGGTCCAACTCAGCTACGTCCAACTATTTCAAACCACACTGATTTGTCTCCTCTCTGAACTCCTTGTTTTGGATCATACATCTTTTTCAAAATCTGATGAAATCTGTAGACTTTTTCTTTGAAGAGGTATGTGTTGGCCTAGGTGCTCACACATTCATGCATACACACACACATATATATACACACACACTTTGGAGTATACAGTTTTAAGCCTTGGACTAATTTAAAGAAAGAATTACCCTTAAGACCAAATAAAGAAAACCTAGGAATAGGCAGCTTACAAGTAGAATCATTCTCCTCCTGTGACTTTCACCTACCCTCCTCTGGTACCTTCTTCCCCTAGATCTTAGCCTACCCACTCTGTCCCCTACCTTCTAGACTCCTGCTTCCCTTGATTACCCAGGGTTCCTCACTACCTTGGCCCTTCTCCTCCCATCTGGAGAGTCTTATTCCATCAGTACTCAGTCTGGTACAATGAGATAGCTCATTTGACAGGCAGATCCTAGATATTAAATATGACAAATATGCAGATCAATTAGGGAAAGTATTTGAACTGGGGTCTACTGGAAATAAAGTAGTTTTTTTTTTTGTTGGGGAGGAGAATTTTCACAAATATTGCTCATTTCACCTATGAGAAGGACCACTCCTATCTCCTCTAGAATACATGATGCACTTGATGTTGACCTACTTAAAATTGAGGTAACAAGATGTAACTGAATATGAAGAGAGGACACAAGCCATGTCACCTAGGTGATGGTCCTCCCTAAAGAGCTTACCATCAAACTCTCTGTATCTGAGGTTCTGCCACTGTTGTCATTAGCTTACCATTCCTTCACATATTGACCCCAATGGTTTATGCTGAAACTATCAAAAGGGAATAGTTTAGGGAAAAAGTCCTTACAGAAGTTAGTAGTGACTCCTTCTTATGAATGAATGACCATTGGATGGAAAGCTTGTCCCGAGTGGCCACAGTGGAAGTATAGGTGCAGATGAGCGTGACATCAGATCCGACAGTCACATTCACAACACTCTCTGGGATGGTCACTTGCACCACATTAACTTGACCTGAAAAGAATCATTAAAAAGACAATAAATAGTACACACATTCTGATGACACTTTTTCATCATAAAGCACTGTCAGTGACATCTTATTTGAGGAATCCAAGGTGAGGTAGAGAAGGTGGAATGAACCAGGTAGGAAAGTTGAGCAAGCAATTGGCATGGGGGTAGGGGAATTGCTAACAAATGACAATGTGAAGACACTCAAGTCCCATGTGATGGTGAGGTAATTACACTATACTGGGAATTTCTTCTTTGTAAGGATGGCCTTACACAGAAGTTGTTAAAATGTTGTCTGGGGACCCAAAAAAGGCCATGAATATGGAGAACAACCCAGTTTTTTCAGGACCAAGGGGTTCTTGGATGTAGGATTTCCAGTTTTAAACTGGTTCAATCTCAGGCAAACCATATTGGTATTGCTAGGACTTTCAGTTCTTAAGCCAGGAAAGTCCTGGGAAAACCAGAATGAGTTGGTCACCCTGTCCCCAAGACCATTTTTGGAGGATACAAGATCAAAATTGTGTTCACAGTAATATCATGATGATATTTTTCTGTCACTCTCATCATCTGGTGAGTATACAATGAGTATCCCAGAAGCTACATGACAGGTAATGATGTCATTGCTCTGGCAGCTAGTAGATTGTGCTTGTGTATTTTTGTGTTTAAAGTTTTAAAGTTTTCATTTAAAATACAGTAAATATAAATAGAAATCACTGACATTGCACAAATCTCTTTGGGGTCCTCAATAATTTTTAATGGAAAATTTTATTGAGATAATAGTTCTAAGAAATATGACAGAGATCCTATGTACATTTTACCCAGTCCCCCCACCCCTGTAGTAACATTTTGTAAAACTATACTGTAATATCACAACCAGGATACTGATGCTGACACAATCCACCAATCTTATTCATATTTCTCTAGTTTTACTTGTATGTGTGTACATGCATTTAATGTTATACAATTTTATTACATTTGTAGGTCTGTATCCACCACCTTAGTCAATACTGAACAGTGCCATCGCCACGAGATCCCTTATGTTGCCCTCTTATAATCATACCCACCTCCCTCCTGCACCATGATCCTAAGCATTGGCAACCACTAATCTGTCTTCCATTTCTAAAATGTTGTCATTTCACAAATTTTATATGAATGGAAGCATGGTAATCCTCTGGAGTTGGCTTTATTTCACACAGTATAATTACCTGGAAATTCACCCAAGTTGTTGTGTGTATCAGTAGTTCATTGTCGTTTATCGCTTACTAATGTTCAATATTGTATATGTACCATACTTTGCTTTGACATGGGACTTTTGGCCTCCAGAACTGTGAAAGAATACATTTCTCTTGTGTTAAGCCACCCAGTTTATGGCAATTTGTTACAGCACCTCTTGGAAACTAACATACCCTCTATTGCTAACTTGCTGATAGTATCATTTACTAGGTGTTGGATTTTGTTAAGTGCTTTTTCTATATCAATTTATATGATCATTTGGGGTTTTTTTCTTTATTTGATATGATAGATCACCCTGCAAGATTTTTGAATGTTGAACCAGCCTTGCAAACCTGAAAAAAAATCCCACTTGGTTATGGTATAGAATTCTTTTTAAACATTGTGGGATTCAATTTGCTAGTATTTTGTTGAAGGTTTTTTTTGTGTGTGTAGGTTCATGAGACACATTGGTCTGTAGTTTTCTATTTTTGTACTGTCTTTGTTCGGTTTTGGTATCAGGGTAATATTATCCTCATAAAATGAGGTGGAATGAATTTATAATAGAATAGAAAAAAGTCCTCTTCTATGTTTTGAAAGAGATTATGTGAAATTGGTGTTATTATTTTTTTTAATGTTGGTAGAATTACCCAGTGAAAGTATCTAGGCCTAGAGATTTCTTTTTCAGAAGTTTTAAATTATGAATTCAAATTATTTAATGACTTTAGGGATATTCAGATTATCTATTTTATATTGGGTATATTTTAGTGGTTTGCTGTTTTTGAGAAATTGGCCCATTTCTTCTAAGTTGTCAAGTATATGCATGTAAAGTTGTTCATACTCTTTCCTCACATTTTTAATGACTGCAGGATATGTGCTGATATCCCATATTTCATTTCTGATATTGGTGATTTATATCTTATCTTTTTTTTTACCAGTTTTCCTAGAGGTTTGCCAATATCACTTACAGATTTTTTTTGGAAGAACCAGATTTTTATTTTGTTTAATAGTTTTCCTTCGATTTCACTGATTTCAGCTCTTTAATAATTTCCTTACTTCTGTTTGCTTTGGATTTATTTTGTTGTTTTTTTCCAGTTCCTTGATGAAGGAGTTTCAGTTATTGACTTGAGACTTTTCTTCATTTCAAATGTAAGCATTTAGTCTTATAAATTTCTCCCTTGGCACTGCTTTAGCAGCATGTTACACATTTCCATATGTTATGTCTTCATTTTCACTCAGTTCTATGTATATTTTTAAACTTTCCTTTGAGTCTTTCTCTTTGATTCACAGATGATTTAGAAGTGTGTTGTATAATTTCCAAGTGTTTAGAAACTTTCTTATTGTCTTTCTATTCTTAATTTCTAGTTTGATTCCATTGTGCTCAGAGAACACACTTTATGATCTCAATTCTTTTAAATTTGTTGAGGTCTGTTTCATGACAAGCATTTAGTCTATCTTGGTAAATGTTCCATGGCTTCTTGGGAAAAAAGTGCACTCTGCTGTTCTGGGGTGGAGTGTTCTATACAAAGAGATATACTTTAAAACGCTACGGATACTCACCAAGATAGACCACATTCAGGGCCAAACATGCAAAACTTAAATTTAAAAGATAGAAGTTATACAATATCTGCCCTCAGGCCACAATGGAATCGAAGTAGAAATCAATTACAAAAAGATTACTGGAAAGTCCAAAACTACAAGGAGACAAAACAACGCACTTCTGAATAACATGTGCATCAAGAAACCTCAGGAAAAATTTAAAAATATTTTGAACTAAATGAAAATGAAAACACAATTTATCAAAAATTTACAGTATGCAACAAAAGCAGTGTTTAGAGGGAAATTTACAGCATTGAATGCATGTACTAGAAAAGAGAAAATATCTCAAATCAATCATCTAAGCTTGTACTTTAGGACCTAGAACAGGAAAAGCAAATTAAATCCAAAGTAACCAGAATAAAAGAAATAATGAAAATTAGAACAGAAATCAATGAAATTGGAAAAAGGAAATCAATGCAGAGAGTAAATGAAACCAAAATTGGTTATTTGAAAAGATCAATAAAATTGATAAGACTCTAGCCAGGCTAATAAAAAGATCGGACACAAATTATTACTAAAGAAAGAGGGGCACCACTACAGATACCATAGACATTAAAAGAATAATAAAGGAATACTAGAACAACTCTATGCCCATAAACTTGATAACCTAGATAAGACAGAGCAATTCCAAAACTTGCACAAGTAGACAATCTGAACAGGCCTGTATCTGTTCTACATATGTTAAAGACATTGAATCAATAATTAATAACCTTCCAAAACAGAAAGTACCAAGCCCAAATGGGTTCAGTGGTGAATTCTACCAAAGATTTAAGGAAGAAATTATACCAATTCTCTACAGAAAATAGAACTGAGGGAATACTTCCCAATTAACAAATCACATGATCATCCCAATAGAGGCTTAAAAAGCATTTGACAAAATCTAACGCCCATTCGTGAAAAAAACTCTCAATAAACTAGAAATGGAGAGGAACTTCTTCAACTTGATAAAGAACATTACAAAAATGCTACATCTAATATCATACTTAATGGTGAAAAACTAGAAGCTTTCCTACTAAGATCAGGAACAAGGCAAGGATGTCCTCTCTCATTACTTCTTTTTGATCTCATACTAGAAATCCTAATTAATGCAATAAGACACAAAAAGAAAATAAATGTTATACAGATTTTAAAATAAATGACAGTGACATGATTGCCCAGTAGAAAATCCAAAAGAGCCAACAAAAAACCTCCGGAACTAAGAAGTGATTAAGTGATTCCATCAAGGTTTCAAGATAGAAGGTTAATGCAAAAAGTTTATTGGTTTTTTTATATTCCAGCAAAGAACAGGTGGAACTTGAGATTAAAAAGCACCATACCATTTGCATTAGCATCTCCAAAAATGAAATAATTGAGTATAAATCTAACAAAATCTGCACAACAACTCTACAAGGAAAACTAAAAAACTCCAATGAAAGAATTCAAAGAAACACTAAATAAATGAAGAGATATTCTGTGTTGATGGATAGGAAGATCCAATATTTTCAAGATGTCAGTTTTTTTCCAATTTTCTTCCCAAAAGAGAGAAAAACAAAGTTGAAGGACTGACACCATCCAACTTCAAGACTTACTATAAGCTATAGTGATCAGGACTGTGTAGTACTGGCAAACGACTGGACAAATAGATCAGTGTAAAAGAATAGAGAGCCCAGAAATAAACCCACATAAATAGAGTCAACTGACATTTGACAAAGGAGCAAAGGCAATACAATGGAGCAAAGATAATCTTTTCAAAAAATAGTGCTGGAGCAACTGAATGTCCATGTACAAATGAATGAGTTAGACAGAGACTTTAGACCCTTCACAAAAGTTATCTCAAAATGGATCACAGCTCTAAATGTAAAAACAGAAATACAAAACTCATAGAAGATTGCATAAGAGAAAACCTAGATGACCTTGGGCTTGATGATGACTTTAGATAGCACACCAAGACACAATCCATGAAAGAAAGAATTGATAAATTGGACTTCACTAAAATTAAAAACTTCTGCTCTGTGAAAGGCACTATCAAAAGAATGAAAAGGCAAGTCACAGACCAGGAAAATCTATTTGCAAAAGACATCTGATAAAGGACTGTTATATAAAATATACCAAGAACTCTTAGGCCTTAGTAACAAGAAAACAGACTAAAAAATGGATGAAAGACTTTAACAGACATCTCACCAAAGATGATTGAGATGGCAAATAAGCACATGAAAAAA